TCCCTCTACATTTGGACTGAGTATCACCGAACCAGCATCCTCTGGACAACCACTATCGGCTGTGCCGGCTGTATATGGACGAGGCATATCATGCGAATCCTGCAAGCACCTCCTTAGAATCATTTACGAGCAGAAATTTGTGCTTTCTGACCAAATTCCGATCCCTCCTGACAGGATTCTGTACCTTCTTTGGCTGGATTTTACACCGTTTTAGATCCCGGCTAAAGCAAACTACAGCCAAAATACCGAGAATACCAAGATGATCCGGACATTCAGTAAGATTTTCGGTTGAATTTTGTATGTTTTACTTAAAAGTGTTCAGATCCAAGACACCGAGAATACCAAGATAATCCAGATATCCAGTAAGATTTTCGGCTGGATTTTGTCCTGTTTTACTTAAAAGTGTTCAGATCCAAAATACCAAGATAATCCGGACATCCAGTAAGATTTTTGGCTGGATTTTGTATTGGTTTACTAAAGTATTTAGATCCAAGACACCGAGAATACCAAAACCATCCGAACACTCAGTAAGATTCTCGGTTGAATTTTGTACTGTTTTACTTAGAAATGTTCAGATCCCAGATACCGCGAATTCCAAGATGATTGTAAAGCTTGTCCAAGAGAACGAAACGATTGACAAAAGCGAAAGGAAGACAATGATGTTATTCGGGTGCCATAATACGTCATGCGCAACTCTGCCAGGTCTTTCGATCCAGGGCTGCTTATCTCCAGCTTCCTACAGCTAGCAAAAATGCATACTGTCGAGAGGTCGTCCATGTGTGTGTGTGTTCGGAAGCGAGTAAACTTTGTCACCCACTTTCAATTCAGCAACCAGGAAAGTTGGGAGGCTGAAATTTTGGGCACATATTCCCACCCCGTGTGCCACCCTCCCGTTTTAAATCTTCCCTCATACGCGCCTAGACCTCGTGCATGGACCCACCCAAAAAATATGCAAATTTCTTTGGCGGGAAACGACTTCGCGAACCAGAAAAGATAGAAGACTGAAACTTTGCAGGGATATTCTCCGTCATATCCAGCTAGTATCCACCGTTTGTTTGTTTCATGTGTATTTGCCATTTTCAAATTTCAGAAAAAAAGGCGCTTATTTACCATTCGGATAGCAGTATCTTCGGAATTGGTCGTGCTTATACGACTGCTACCACTTATTCGTTCCACACTGCCGCCACCTGGAAAAAAAATATTCAGGAATTCATAAATTAAAGTTTCAGATACGAAGGCAGAAAAAAAAAACGCTAAAGCATTCCGTGAAATGGAAAATCTACTTCAAATTTTATTTCAAGAATCAAAAACGCCTCCGCATTCGTTCAAAATCAAACAAGATTTTCTTCCCTTCTTCATCTTCCCTACTTCATCA